CACAGTTTAAATGAATTCTGTAGACAAAAAAGTTTGTAAGTACAGTAATATCTGTGTTCTTTGTCTGTTTAAATCTGTTTTCACTAGTTTAGTTCACGTTCCTGTGTTTTCAATTAGTTTCCTTGGTTATTCCTTAGCTGTGTTTGAAATCTCACCCCTATATCCTTAACCCATTCAAACCAGATCACACATCTGTGTGTGTTTACCTTTTAAGACCGGATCGCCCGGCAAACACGTCTGCATCATTTTGAGCGGTATCAGCTTTTATTCCATGTTTTTATCTGCTCTAGAGCCTGAGAAATTAAGATTTTAGTAGTCGTTGACAAATTTTGACAAACTTTTCTGGAAACCCCACTCTAAAAAATGCTGGGTTGTTTTAACCCAATTTGGGGTCAAATATGGACAAACTCAAACATTGGGTTAAAAATGTAATTTAAAAATGTAACACAATGGCTGGGTTTGTCCATATTTTACCCAAAATTGGGTTAAAACAACCTAGCATTTTTTCAGAAAAGGGGTTTTCAGAAAAGTACTTTATTAGCTATTTGAGGGGACAGCCATTTGTACACTCTAAAAAATGCTGGGTTGTTTTAACCCAACTTTGGGTCAAATATGGACTAACCCAGCCGTTGGGTTAAATTTTTACATTACATTTTTAACCCAACATTTTGGGTTTGTCCATATTTGACCCAAAATTGGGTTAAAACAACCCAGCATTTTTTAGAGTGTAGTGGTGTCCGAAACCACATTGGACATCCGACAACCAGACAACTATATTGCAATGGTTGTTCTTTTTCTAGTGTTTTGAGTTCTGTATAATCCGCGAATAGATCCGTTCCTTCAACTTTATTGCAGCCGTTCGTGGCAGCAGTGCTAATAGATCGATTTGGGTCACATGTATTAGCACTGTAACCTTTGACATAGAATATCTCTGTCCATGGTCCTGAAACTACATGAAACTACACTGTAATTTTTGATGCTGTGCTGATTTGTCAGCACAAGACGCAATATTTTGATGCACCTTAATTAGTTTCCTACAGCAAATAAACTGAATATGATATAATCATATCATACAGCAGATCACATATGATCCTCTTTGGTTAACGAATGAATGTTGATATTGTCTTTATCACCTTTTCTTCATTCTGCAGTATAACTAATCAATAAAATACGTAATAAACATAAATAATTTGTTTAATATATATTTATTTATGCATTTAATGAGTCTAAGGTTTTAAAGCAGTTTATTACTCAACTGTAGAGGAACAAGGCCTACTCTTGATATTTTGTTAGTAATTTGTAAAATAAAGAGTAAAGTGCACTAATGCACTTTTAAAATACCTTTAAAATTATGTTAAAACATGTTAAAATCCCCTATCACGGTTTATGCAGAAATAATAGTAAGTTAATTTGAAACACTGTGGCTCTGTCAAAATATTAATGTGTTGTTGTTTTTTTAGCATTATGACACGGCAACGTTGGCTTAACCGATGGTGCGAGTTTGAGGCATGGACTACTTGTTAACAATAAAACCTGACTGATAGTTTTTATTATTCTTTTATTTATTTTTTTTTATCATTATTTGAGGGTTACATACATTACTTTGTTTTTAAATAAAACCCTTTACGCACATGCACCTATTTTTGGTCTGCCATAGACAAGCCGATAAGCACCAGAAAGGTGAGGTTTTAACGTGTTCATATTAGTAGGCTAAACTGTACTTCTGAAAAGCTTTGTCATGCAGTGCCCCATGAGAAGAAATGTAACACCTGAAATCAAAAGTCTTTGTAGTTCTTTGTAGTCTTTCACATGTGGTAGTGATAAACAGACTAAGCAACTAAGCAAATGCATGCGACTGTTTTTGACACCTTTTTTTTAGCAACATCAGATGCTATGGAAACTTTTGACCACTAAGATTGAGCTCCAGTGAAGGCTGCCTGCTTGATCTTTCCATTCTATATTTTACTTTCATGCACCGACCACAAACGTAACCCTGAGACTGACGGTCTGCACTATGAACTCAAAGTTGAGGTTGCGGATCTGTAATGCAAGTTTTTTTATGCAATTAAAAAAAAAATGAAATAAAATACAGCACATCCTTATTGCATTTGTCATATATATATATATATATATATATATATATATATATATATAAATGACTATATATATACTGCTATACATATATATATACAGCCTTATTAAAGAAGCATAAACAAAAAAGGAAGTAACTTTTAGTGTTAAAATGTGTGATAAAATGAAAAACTGTATTTTATTTTTTAATTACTACATAAAGCAGAACCTAGAGGTTACTGAAATTAGCAAAAAGCACTGAGAATATCTTTTGCGTAATATTCTAACTTGCAATGTGCTGTTTTGTTCTTCTTGCCCATGCATTTCTTCCTGTTTTGAGCAGCAGTGGGAGCCGAATAACTAAGGCAAGGTATGAAAGCAGTTCTGAAAAATGATAAATGTTTAAAAGTACAACATGTGTGTGTCTCAAACCGAATCCTATGAGGCTGTGTTCTTCCTAGTCCACATGAGTCCTCCTCCACTTTAAATGCTAGAATGAAACAGTCTAGTAAGAGCGCATGGCTACAGTAAGTCACACATGTTCTCGATGCCATGGTCATGTCATGAAATTATAATTTTTAATATTTACTCACTTTCTATTAATTCATTGCATTGAATGACAGCTCAGTCTAAAATGTTAATACTTAGGCTTACCAGGCTAAGAAAAAAAAACATGTTTTGGTAGAAGGACATTTTTTTAATTGTGATCTTGGCAGGGGTGTTTATTTATAGCACATTTCATACACAATGGTAATTCAAAGTCCTTTAAAATAATCAAAATAAATCAGAATAATTCAAACAATTTAGAATAAAAAAAAAATAAAATACAGTAAATAATTTAAAACAGTTTAGAATATAAAATAAAATTCAATAACAGTCAAAAAAATTCAAAAAAGTTTCATGGTGTAACCTAGTTTATTATTAAACATTAAATTGATAAAGTATGAAAATGGATTCATATAGTGCATAATTTATTGTGTATTTATTTAGACAGCTCAATGTGTTTATATAAACACATGAATTGGAGATGCACATGAGGGTATCTTTAGTGATACTATATATATAAAAAAAAATGTCCAGAAAAATCTCGGGGGCTTCTTGTAATTAACGTTCCTTCTGAGCAGGGTGAGCTATTTGTGTTTTTGGTAATGGAAAGGGATGTGAAGACAAAAAGTATTTTTGTTGTGGTTTTGATGAAGCAAGTTGTTGTAAAAAAAAAAAACAATAAATGGGTCTTGTGGGTGGAAACTACTTAAACCATGTGTGCTCATTTACAGTGCAGAGAAAAGGTCCTGATCCACTTTATTTATTTTCCATTTTTATTAAAACATATGCCTTTTATATATGGCTTTTATTTTAAGTCATAGCCTTATTCTGTGATAAAAAATATATATTTAAAAAAAAAACTTTTTTAGCACTTTTAAAATATTTCTATGTTGTCTAAATATATATATATATATATATATATATATATATATATATATACTTGTGCCTGGTTATGCTTTTAGTTTAGATCTATGAAATATACACAAAAGAAAAAACTAAAATTCAACAAACAGTAATACTAAAAGTTGGACAAATTACAAGTAACTATTTACGTGGACTCTAAGTTAATTATATAAAGCTAAAGTTAATTATATTAATTATATAAAGCTAAAGTTATTCAAATGATGTAGTTTGATAACAGTTAGAAGTGTACATGATACAAAGCTGATCCGCTGATGTTGACTGCAGCCGTTTGTGCTCTACACTAAGCAGTTTCTTCCTGTCACTCACTCAGCAGGATATGATGAAGTTCACTCGTGCCGCCCCCGTTTCAGTTTGACACATGTTTAGCCTGACCACTTTCCATTACATCTCTTCCCCTCTCACTTTTCTGCTGGACTTGGATGAAATGAAGAGATTGTCCTGGTAGGAGTCATGTTTTGTTCATTAATCATGGGTAATGGGACAATTAAAAGAGCTTGTGGCAATTGCAGAGAGGCTATATAGAAAGTTAGCTTTGAAAGCATGAGATCCCACCCTCCCTTCATATGCGTGTTCACATAGAGGTTTTCATTGGCCTACGTGAACTTAAATTCAAAGAGACAAGATAGTCTATACATGTCCTAACATCCAAAACTAGAAAATTTGAATATTATATGGAGCACCAAACATTCATGTAATAAACTGTATGTCTCATTTGTACTGGAAGGGCGCCGTCTTGCAGAGTCCAAAACGGACATGTATGTAATAACTTGTGATGTTCCAGGAAACCCATTAAATGGACAAAGGCTTTCAGCTATCGCTGTAGCAAAATAAAAAGCAGAAACGCTTTGACTGATGAAACGTGAAGACGGTAAACTCACAATTGCAACAATAGATGGTTTATGTGTGTATTTGAAGCCATAACAATAAAGTGCATGAATTCTGCAGTGCTAACTGGCAGCCTTTTTACAGTGTTTTATAGTTATAGAAACTATAAAATAGTATATTTTCTGCCTTATTCTGTGATTTAAAACAAAAATCACATTGTATAAAATCCATGATGACTCATTGCACAAGTGTTCGTAGTACATTAAATTGTCATAAGGAAAATATAGGGAAACATATTGTAGAAAACATATGACTAGTTATTGTTCAACGGTGTGTTTTTGATTTCTTAGCCAATTAAAAGAAAGAGAAAACCTGTCAATTAGACAAAGGTCAAAACATTTTCTGTCCCCCTCACTTCTGAAATGAAGACTTGAGTAGGTGTTAAACAGGCCAAAGTTACTGCTGGCAGTCTCATGCATGTCGAATAAAAGAGGGCTGGCTAAAGCTCTTCTAGTTTGGTCTGTTGATTAGACCACAGCACAGGGGTGCAACTGACCTAACTTGCAGACCGTGTGGTTTGTGGTGCATCTTATCTAACATTCATCAAAACAAAACAAAAGTGGGTTTTTTTCTGGAAAAATAAGACACTTTATTCTCATACAGTACATTAATACACATTAAGAAAGAGCACAATGCATGGGTGTGGTTATTTCAACAGAATAAAGAGACATTTAAATTTCATAATTATTTCAGAACATAAAATATGACATGGCTCTGGTTTAGAAACAATATTAGCAAATACTAATACAGTACAGAAATACAGTACAAATACAGTTACGGTGCAGAATCGTTTAATTCCAGTCCAGAGTATTCTGTCTGCCATTGCATCTCCACTCTCTGCTGTCTTGAACTTTGGGAATTGGTGAAGTTTATGGCAGCATAATTCATATCAGAGGTCCTGTTGTACTAAAAATAAAATACATACATATATATATATATATATATATATATATATATATATATATTATATTTAATAAACATTTCCATGAAGTGATGTATACATCACTACACCACTAAATACTTGACTTTTAGATACGCATATAATTGTGTCTGTCCATGTAACACAAACCTGTGCCCTTGACTCTGTTGTGTGAACTTGCTGAGATGTGTTGCCTGTTATAAGATGAAATATTAGACAAGCTTTAGTTTTTCAAAATGGCATTGTTAAAGGGAATAATACAAAATACCGCATATTTTGCACTTTTATAGGATATTTTAGTCATGTCAATGGTTACCTTTTGTCTTTGTCACGCAAAGCATAACATTAGTGATGAAGCTTATGACCAGCAATAGTGTAAGGCCAATGAGAATGTAGAAGTGCAAGTTATGTCCATCTGAAACAATAAAATAACTGAATTATGTCACTGTAAAAAAAAAAAAATATTGTTGGTTTAACTTAAAAAAGTAAGTAACCTGGTTGCCTTAAAATTTTAAGTTGATTGAACTGGAAAAAGTGAGTTAATACAATGAAGGAGATTCATTTAATCATCAGAAACTCAAAATAATAAGTTATCTCAAGTAAATAAATTATTTAAGTTGATTTGACAAGAAAAAAAAATGTTGTGATAACAAATCTTGAAAATATTTGTTTTACAGTGTGGTATAGTAGTGGTCAAAAGTGATGTCCAAAAATTATTAACCATTAACCAGCAAAAAAAGAAACGTATCGCATAGTTGTGCTCGTAGTCAATTGTTTTATTGGTGACAAAGCATTTAAATATACCAAAGTGCAAACTTTTTTTTTTCTTTGCACAGTCCAATAAAACCTGCAGCTGAAGTTTGCCCCTTTTTGCAAACTAAGTTTGGTTTTGGGTTTCCCTCATATTTATATAATTTTTTTTTTTACTTTTGGCCACTACTGTATGTACAACAATATGACGCATCCAAATCATTTTTCATCAGTAGAAAATCTGTATTCTATATCAACAATAACCCCTGTTTACAATAACACTAAAGTACTCTGTTGTACTATACAGTGTTTTTGATCATAAATGGACAGTATTTGTTTAGGCATTACACTAGATAAAAACTACAAGAACTGACATAGAATTAAGTCATACTGCATCATCATCCATAAAACGGGGCATTAATATGTATGTGATTTCTTGTATTAACTGCGATTTATTGTATTTACCACACTTACCGTCGATATCCAGAGTAATTCCGTGTCCAAACAAAATCTCCCCACATGCGACCACAGCACAGTAGTAAGTCCCAGGCTTGATGTTTCTCATAGAGAGACTGTAGACACAGCTCCTGGAAGGAGAAGCAGTCAAAGAGCTGTTTTTACAACTTTCTTGAGCGTGAATGATTCCTGGACTGGATTTTTCTGAACCGGGTCTGAACCAATAGACCCTGTGTTCGCCTCCACAACTCTCTTCTTTACTTTGGATTGTACACTGCAGTGTCACATTTCCATCTGATGATGATGTTCCAGGTTGCTTTTCCTGAAGAATATGAATCTGGTTGGATTCAGAACCTATTGAAGGAAGATAATGAATTTAAGGCTGTAAAATGTGATTAATTCCCAAAAGGGTTAGTCTAATGTTAACCGCTCACCTCTAAGCACCAGATTAGCTCCAGCTCCAAAGTAGACAATGTTCATAAAGGAACCTGCACAATAATATGTGGCTGAATCGGATTGTACAGTCCTTTCAATGGTTAGATTAAAGCTGCCAAGCCCTGAATTTATTTTATAGCGCTTTATCTTTCCAAACTCATCATGAAGTTCACCGTCTTGAGACCAGTGATATGAAGAGGCTACAAGAGCAGGCTTTTCTCCCAGAGTCTGTTTGAACCACAATACTCTATTAATTTGGTCTTTTGGGTGAAAGCAGTGAAATGTCACATCATCACCCACTTGAACTGTTACATCCCCCATCTGCAAAATACTTCCAGAATGTTGCATTGCTGTAAAATATTTAATAGCAGTCATTCCTTAAATGCGTTTCTACATAGACGACACAATGAAAAGCTTAAGAAAAAAACATTACTGTTTTACATTTGTAAATAAAAAAATGTGTACTTACATGGTTTATTAAAGAGAACGCATATAATGAGTAGAATGACATTCATTTTCATAATGAGCTCCAGGGCACAAACTTAGAAGGTTAATTCTCTAAAACCTTCTCTGTGTGAAACCTTCTCGATTGGAAGCCTTGTGACATGTTTCCATTGGCTCTCTGAGCTAACGGGTCATTTCCTTGTTCAACTTACTTTTAACACAGATGTGTTACATCACGGTATATTCTTTAATCTAAATGATCTGTTCTGATATTTATACCAATTTATATAACATGATTAAAACTGACTGGAAATAAATTAAGTTATACACATTTGGAATAACTAACATTGTGCAATACGCTCAATACACATAATAAGCTAAACATCAGACAAAGCAAATGTTCTCTTTATAACACATGTCAGAGGGGGGCCAATAGCTGACATGCATGTGTACTCAACCAAAAACACATTAAATCAGTTTAACCTTGAAATATGTTAATGAATATGTTACGTAACATTTTACAGTCAGTATACAAGTGATAATGGTAAAATTTCAGTGTTTTTGTTTTTTGGTGGAATCTGCAGAGCTTTTGGTAGCATAGTTGTTCAAGAACTAAACTATTAACCCACAATTTAAACCCTGAAAGAGACTATCTATTACAAACATATAATAAGTTATCAAAAACACAAACAAAACTTCTTTGTTTAAATGAATGAAAATAAACAGAAGCGTGTTTTGGGAGATTATACTGTAAATCTTTATATAATGATGAATGAATATTGTATAAGTACATTTACAACCATAAATGGCATAATATGTTGTAAATCAAGGTAGAAAATCAGTTTTTCTATTTTTGTGATCCCTCACTGCCATCACCTGGTAGCTTATAATAGTAGTTTTCTACACTGTGATCACATGACCTCATCATGTTTCATGTTTAAAATCACTGATGGCCGGCTTCACAGACGGGGCTTCAGTCTAGTCCGTCTAAAATGCATGTTTGAGCTGTCTTTTAACTAAAATCAACTTGCATATCTTAATAGGCCAATGCCATTGTTTAGTCTCTGATCCATACTAGCAATGTTTTTAAAGGCACATTTATAAAAGCCACTTAAAGGGACAGTAGCCTCACTCTCAAGTCACCCTAGCTGTATATGACATTTTTCTTTTAGACGAAAATAATCGGTGTTATGTTAAAAAATGTCCTGGCTCTTCCAAGCTTTATAATGGCAGTGAATGGTTGTTTTTGTTTTGAAGTCCATAAAAATACATCTATCCATCATAAAAGTGCTCCACACGGCTTCGGGTGGTTAATAAAGGCCTTCTGAAGCGAAGCGATGCATTTGTGTAAGAAAAACAACATGACATCATGACTTTTGCGTAAACATGCACGCCACTTTCGAGTTTTCGAGCTTTCCGCGTGTATCTGCGTGTACAGTATGTCGACGCCATTAACGTCCGAGTGATTCCGCGCGTCTGTACACGCCGTCAAATGTCCGCGCGAAACGAAGCAAAATGTAGCTCTACATCTGGGGAGCGATCTTTTTTTTTTTCCTAGAATGGTGAGGGAACAGTCATAAATGGCAATAACCCCAGTGACGGGTAGGTTTAGGGACGGGGTTGAGGCAAGTCATATATTTATATATACAGTAATAACGTTAAGTCAATGGCGTTCATACGCTGAAAAGCGATTATGCGTCTTGATAGCACGCCAAAAATGGAAATACGAATTGGCGATAAAAATATCAATATTTAAAACGTATTTAAAGAAAAATAACTAGCCTTAGGTCAAACAAACATACAGATTCGACAGCCTAAAGTGCAACTTATGGAGTAATGTGACGGACTGTGATATTTACGCTACGCCATGACGCACTGCGCTACATTGGACGTCATAAAGTTTTAAATATGGATATTTTTCTTACACAAACCGATGTTTCGTCCTAACTGTCCTAACTGAACCAAGGCCCGGTTTAACAGATAAGGTTTGGATTAAGGCTGTGTGTCCACCAAAGCGTTTTTCCACGCTCCTGGCGTATGTTTTCAATTGTTTTCAATGGGAGCGCAGTGTTTTTTAAACGCCATGCGTTTTTTTCACGCTGAAGCGCCGAGCGCCCGGCGTTTTTTACTGGTCACTGGGAGTTGAAAAATGTTCAACTTTGGATAAAACGGAGCGCTCATCACTGTCACTTTTTACCCAGCCGTCCAATCACAGTGGAGGAGGGGCGGGACTAAACCACACTGACCAACCGTCACCACATTCAAACTGTGCTGCGGATATTCTGTATCATAGCATTGAAACGTCTCAACAGAACAAACGCTGCGCTGCCAAAACGCTCTCAAGCGCCCAAAGCACGGCGTCTTCAGGAGAGCATCGGCGGACACACGGCCTAAGCCAGGTTTAGGCCTATGACATAATGACAATTAATTTGCATTAATTATAATAAATGATTTATCATTGCACATAATTTTTCTCTTCTCTAATGACGTGTACTACTGTGCGAGGGCGGGGAAACCTGTCACTCACATAAGATCAACCAATAGCAAACCACAACCATCCAATCAATTGCCAATGTACAAAAGCAAGTCCTGTCTTTGATTTTTTTTTCTTGTTTTAATATGTCATGTGACTTTTTCAGGTGAGGTGCATCCTGTTCTCGTATTGGAAATAAAAATGTCTGGTCAGCATTAATCCAAATCTAATCCAAATTTACTTTTACTATTTCAAAGAAAATGTACTTTTACTATTCCAAAGAAGAAGACAAGTCTTCCGCTGAAACTATGGAAACCAGTTCTATGATTTGCATGGAAATTAACCTAAAAAATGTACCATCTCTTTTTCTCCAAATACAGTATGTCACATTATTACCGAAGTAAAATGTGTTAAAAGTGCTGAATTATGTTGAATTTATTTCTCGGCAGTCTGAGCATGATGAGTAAAGAAGGAGGTCGCCGCAGGATTCTTTAGTCGGGGACACTTAATAATCAACAATATTATTGATTTGACTCCACTGACACTATTGGAGAACTGAACTGAACTGAGATGGACGATGACATCACTGTTTTCTGCAGAAAACATGAAAATATTGAGTTACTGATTATCTTTACATGGAACTGAATCTACACTGAACTGACTTCAACTGAACAATGAAACTATTCACTTTTTCTGTTATCACGCTTTGAAACGATCTGTATTGTATAAAGCACTATATGAATAAAGGTAACTTGACTTGAATGATATGTTAAATATAGTTGATATCTCCTGTACTACTTTTACTGGAAGCGGAAGGTCAAATCGAGTGCATAGCATTGAGATGAACTATTTAACACACATGCTGCGTTGTAGAGGAAGTAACCATACAGTGTTGGGGATGAATAAATGAATTAGAGAAGGTTGACCTAAAAAAAAGTTGAGATGTTTATTCAAGTTGATGAACACACTACTTTCACATATACCCTGACAGGATGTGGTTATGCTTTTTTATATATATAATTTTGCACGTTGTTTCTTTTATACAGAAATGTTAACACGTTTAACACGTTGCATAATAAGCAGAGGAAGTTTTATCATTAGAGTCACAAATATGCTGTATTTTTTAATGCACTCCTGGAGTTTGCGTTAAATATGATGTGATTCGACAATCAGAGGCAATAGGTTTCAGATATTATCGCGCAACATGGGTCTAGAGTACACCGTCTCCTCTGAGGTCCTCTTTCTCTGACCTCTTTTTGTGGAAAAGTTCAGGGCAGCATAGTTAATGTCATACTAGAAGAAAGAAAGAGACTTTTTTCAGCACTCTTTTCAATTTCACGGGTTAACTGTTATTCACACATATGATTCTCCTAACCTCAACTCTGGTTGTATCGTCATTAGTAGTCAGGATTTGTTGAGGCGTTCTAACTGTTAGAAATCAAATAAAGCAGTACGAAAAGAGTTATTCTATTATAAACGTTATTCTAAACGCATATTTTCTAATAAGAGGATTATTATTGTGGATAATACACTTGAATTAAAATAACTTACCTTTTCTTCTCATTGGTAAGCAGAGCATCAGATTGATGATAAGGCTGGTTGTAAACGCCACTGCAAGGCCAATCACAATAAAATACTGCAGACTCTCATTATTAAATTCATCTGAAACACAATAAACATTGTGCAACTTTATAAATCTGCATAGAGTGTTATGTTAGAACGTATATTTAGTTAAATTAAGTTTAATCCCCATGCAGGAGTATGATAATGAAAAGCACAACATTGATTATATTCATACTTTGACTTCATTGTTTTCTTTAAAAGGGATTTTACTTTATGAAAAGGTTTCCTACAAATTAAAGACTTTGTTTTATGACTTAAGACATCTTATCTATCGTTCTATTTCCGATCTATCTATCTATCTATCTATCTATCTATCTATCTATCTATCTATCTATCTATCTATCTATCTATCTATCTATCTATCTCTCTATCTCTCTATCTATCTATCTATCTATCTATCTATCTATCGTTTTATCTATAGCTCATTTTAAAATGTGTACTTATCTTATCTAATATATCTTTGAAATTTGGCATTATGTACTGCAAATATTGCTCTTATGATAAATAGTTTGAGGTGTTCTTACTTCGCAAGCCGCTTTGGATAAAAATGCACTTCTCAAAAAAAAATAAGAAAAAAAAGGCAATTACCTTTAATGACCAACGTTGTGCCGTTTCCAAATACAACTTCTTCACAAGTTACCACAGCGCAATAGTACATTCCAGCATCAGAGAGACCCACGTTTATCTTGGGGAGGTTGTAGAGACAGCTCTGCGCTTTAGAAGTGGAGGCTGCCAAGTTCTTTCCACACTCGTCGTTCCTGTCTCCATGAGTGTAAACCATTCCTGGATGGACTGTGTCTGAACCCTGTCTGAACCAGTAGACTAGTTGTACTCCTTTATCACACATTTTCACTTGCACCGAGCACTGCAGAGTCACATTGCTTCCTGGCTTGATAACACCAAGCACAGGCTGTTGTATAACAGCAGTTTGTAGGTCTGCACCTACAAGGAAGGGGGGAAAAACAATAGACATTGACAATAAAAGGAATCACCCATCTTTATTTAAAAAAAAAAAAGTTTTACAATCCTCACCTTTAACCATCAGAATAGTTCCAGTCCCGAAGGAAACCACGTTGGCAAGGGCAGCGGCACAGAAGTACGTGCCTGAATCAGATTTCAAAATCCTCAGGATGGTTAAGTTAAAACTACCAGCGGTTCGCACTGCATGAAATCGTTGAGTTTCTTTAAAGTCTGGAGAAAATTCATTCGGTTGAGAGTAGTGATATGAAGACACTACTAGGACAGGTTTCTCTCCAAGAACCTGTTTATACCATAATGCTCGGTGTACCTGATTCTCTGAAAGAAGACAAGATATCAACACACTGTCCCCCTCTTGAGCGGTTAAAACCTGATCCACATGAGCAACACTGCAATTATATTCACCTGTCGGGAAAATAAATAACATGGTTGGCTAAGACGGCATTTAAATGTTTAGTTAAATAATTATCAAATATGTTCTATGTTGTCATTAAAGAAAACTTTTTGTTATTTTGTACTTACAAACTTCATGAAGAAAGAGAAAAAGGATCATGTAGATGCTGCTATCCATTTTATGTTCTTCCTGGGTCTTTTGCACGTCTGTCTAAATGTGGTACTTGGTCTATGTATCAATATGCTTTCTGAGGGTTTCATCATGTGACTCTACTGGCTCTTTGCATGCACATATTACTGCCCGTTTCCTGAAGTAAGCTGCTAAGTACAGTATGTGAGCAAATGCAACTACTGTAGCAGACATCTAATCTTGACAGCAGGCCAGAAAAATGCATTTTAAAGAGATGCTTAGGGTGGCGACGTGCTAAAAAACGTAATAAATACTTGTTACAAAACTTTATGATACATCAACTATGAAACAAAATAAATGAAATATTGTGGGACAAGTACATGGTGTGATACAAAAACATCAGAGCAGTCTGGAAAAGGAAGAAAGAAAATTTGAAGATTTTAGTTCACCAATGGAAGCCGTTGCATGCTAACGCTAACACATGTTTTTACTGTAAAAGAGTATATCTATGTATCCGTTTGTGTGTAATGATATCTGACTGCCATCATCTGGATGTGACTAGTAGTACATTTCTGTATTTTTGCATAATGCTGCAACCGTAATTAAGAGAAAAACATACTGTGTACTATATCTCTATTTTCAATTGTGTCATTTTTGGGTTAATTTGTAATAATACCGATATTTTTTGTCTATTGATGCCAAGCAATTTTCACTGAAAGTTTTTTCCCCTCATTTGCAAAGCGTCGCCCTCTCCATGGTGCTGAATTTAATGGTAAATTACTGTAAACACACAATTTATGGATTTTTTTTTTCATGATTTAATGTATATTTAAACATATTAATGACATAGTGAATTACATGGCGGCAAAATGTAAAAAAAAGGCTATTATAAGATGAAAACTGTTAAAGACAACAACATAAAAGAAAATCTATAAAAGACGGTAACAGAAGTCTCTCCCTCGTCACTTTCTCAAAAATAAAAAAATACAAGACTCATATTATTTGTTATCACATGATAGAGTAATTGACATTCACAGTTAAATCTTATTCACAGTTAAAACATGAAAGGCATTGAGAATGAGGAAATCCTTGTTTTACGCTATCTGTTTGCGAACAGATGCATACACCACAGAATTGACCTCTCTGTGGCCTTTTATTTTACGTGTAGACTGGTCCGATGAAAACTTCAGCGATGCATAATTTTCGGACTCTGTGTCAGCAATCTGAAGAGAGAATATAATTTTGACAATACTCAGTAATGTTACGGTATCAGTGGTGTCAAGTATTTGAGTAAATGTAATTAGAAACTGTACCTAAAGGGTTAGTTCACCCAAAAATGAAAATTAAGTCATTAATTACTCACCCCCATGCTGTTCCAACCCCGTAAGACCTTCGTTCATCTTCGGAACACAAATAAAGATATTTTTGATTGAATCTGAGAGCTGGATCAGTCCTACATAGGATGCCTAAGGGACTGGCTCTTGACGGCCCATAAAGTCATTAAAGAAAAGGTTTAAATATTCCATGTGCCCACAGCGGCTCAATTATAAGTTTATCAAGCGACGAGAATACTTTTTGTGCGAAAAAAACATAAATAACGACTTTATTCCACTATTCCATTACTTCCTTATGGGCGCATGCGCGAGAACTGAGACGAGGACGTTCTCATTCGTCTACTTCTTGTTACCGGCTGCTCCGCTTAGGAGTTTTACCGCCCCTACCGTATAAGATGATGTGCTGATATAGCTGGAAGCGCAAAACTTTCTGTTTACAAGCAGAGGAAGATGCGCGCTGTACATACGCTTTTCAATTTGCGTATTTTACGCACTATAAGGTGCACTTAAAAGCCTTTAATCTTCTAAAAAAAAACGACAGTGTTCCTTATAATCCGGAGCGCCTTATATATGGATCATCATTTTATACGGTAGGTGGCGGTAAAACTCCTAAGCGGTGAGCAGCCGGTAACAAGAAGTAGACGAATGAGAACGTCCTCGTCTCAGTTCTCGCGCATGCGCCCATAAGGAAGTAATATAATAGTGGAATAAAGTCGTTATTTATGTTTTTTTCGCACAAAAAGTAGTCTCGTCGCTTGATAAACTTATAATTGAGCCGCTGTAGGCACATGGAATATTTAAACCTTTTCTTTAATGACTTTATGGGCCGTCAAGAGCCAGTCCCTTAGGCAGTCTATGTAGGACTGATCTAGCTCTCAGATTCAGTCAAAAATATCTTAATTTGTGTTCCGAAGATGAACGAAGGTCTTACGGGGTTGGAACAGCATGGGGGTGAGTAATTAATGACTTAATTTTCATTTTTGGGTGAACTAACCCTTTAAGTATCTTTTTGGCTACTTTCTAGTTTTACTGAGTAACAAAGATATTTGCACAACATCATTATATGAGTATATGTACTCTTTACTCCAATACATTTTGCATGACACCTAACTTTTTCTGCAGCAGTTTATTTCTGCTACAAAAGAAGTGATATCGCCATCTAAAGGGAACGGAAGGTAGTATATCTTATGCGTTTCGCCCTATGGTTTCGCCCTTACTCACCCAAACTTGACAATCAAGCTACTTTACGTGAATGTGAGTTCATTAGTTGCTGAACCGCAGTTGTTTCACATATAAGCTATGAAATGAAGACATGGCTTCAGCCGAACTAGCATGTCCAGTGCAAATAGCCTTTGACTATTTCCAGTATATTGAAGAGACCTTTTTGAAGGATATTGGTTTACCTATTCCCTTTTTGAACACTTTAACTCAACTGAGACTTGAGTGTTTGTAGATGTTTTAGGTGCTGACCTTGATTTATAGCAAAATTGAGGTGTTTCTGTTCTGTTTTGATTTTAGAAAACAAACATTGTTGCTTTCCTCACAAATGAACTCTGTTCAGTACAAGTAAATGCTTAAGTACTGTTAAAATCAGATACTAAAAAGGGGTTTTAACATTGGTGACTTGTAATGGAGTCATTTTTGGTGTAAGGCTTTCTGTACTTTTTCTCAAGTAGGTTTTCTACGCCTCTGTATGGTTATATATATTCTGGATGGTTCATAAATGTTTTAAATGCAAATAATGTGCAGTAAAATGTGACTTTTTGCGATGGTAAAGTACATTATTAAATATTAAACCATGTCATTAATGTTCATGTCGATTTTTATTTGAGTGGCACAGCTTACCCACTCTCCCCATTAGCTGTGTATAATGTAAAAATATAAGGCAACTCACCTGGGCTGTAGACTGAACCTCGCCGACACCTTAAAATGTATCATAATTAGAAATTAGAATAGTTACATCAAATCATTTTGGAAAATGTATACACCACAGTTAAAAATGTTGGTGCCAGTAAGATATTTTTCTAACTAACTCAATATTTTCATTCAGCAACGATGCAAAAGTGATTCTAAAGACATGTATAATGTTAATCAAGAATCCTGAGAAAACAATTATCATTTCAACATTGAGAATCAACAAGGGGGTTTCAACATTCATAATATTAAGAACTTTGAACAGCAAATCAGCATATTAGCATGATTTCTGAAGGATCATGTGACACTGATGTGACAAATTCAGCTTTGATCATCTGAACAAATTTCATTTTTAAATAAATTAAAATAGAAAAATGTACATAATAATATAATGCATACAAATAAATGTACATAAAATTTCACATCATCGACTGTTTTACTGCCTGTGTGCGCACAAGAGATAACTTTAAATATTAAAAACATCGTAATGGGCTCTATGCACGGCGTTATTTCCGGTGAAGGATTAAGGATGCTCGATAACTTCCGCCGATCATAAAGTCCAATGCAATACCGAGAATTTATATTGAATTTTATACTCCATGGTTATACTAATGAAACGTTAGTCACAAAAACAGATAAAACAGACACCCCTCGTTGTGTTTATGCTTCTTTTTAAAATTATATTAAATAAACATAACTATATATAAAATTACATCTAAACGTATGTACGTTTCGTTTCAAAGACGGGAGGACAGTAAATATTGAAGACTCTGCCATAATCCCGTTTTCTCCGGTTTTCCTCCGCTTTAATCTACACAACCGGAAATGGACGAGCATCCTTACGTCAAATGCGGAACTTATGCGTGCATATAGCCCATTGTTTGAATGGTTGTGTATTTGTGTTTTTGAGAGAGAATGTCATTTGAAACGTGAGATGAGTAAAAAAGGGTCTTACTTCTGTGTGCAGTTCTTCTCCATGACAGCACCATTATTATATTAACTATTACTAATATCACCAATACAGCGGAGAGCAGTGCGATGATATAAAACGCTGTTTTATCAGAAACAACTGGAAAAAAAAATGTTTAAGAAATAAGATGTGATTTTATGATCAAAATCTGAACAATCCAAATGGAATGAAAAGTCTCTTTTTATATTATTAAATTCTCTGAAAACTAAGAACTGATATAAGAAATATATTGCCAAAATATATTACATATGTGAGAAATATAAAAAGTTTTACCATCAGCTGTCAGTTTAGTTCCATTACCAATGAATAGCTTTCCACATGTGACCACACTGCAAAAGTAAGTTTCATCACTGGCGAGGCTTTTGGGGACTTTGTGCACGCAGTTCTGTACAGTCGATCCGGACACGGAGATCTTCTCACACTGATCTTTCCTGTCTCCTTCACTGTAAATGAATCCTGAATGAGACTCCCTTGGTTCGTATTTAAGCCAGTAGACGCTTTGCTCTCCTGAACAAGTCTCACCAAAGATTGAGCAATGAAGAGTCACAGAGTCTCCTTCATGATGTGAGTCCAAAACTGGACGCTGGATGACTTTAATGGGCTTTGCATCTCAAAAATAAAATACAAATTCTTTAGTATTTGCAGTAATAATAATAAAACAAACTTAGAATTTCCAAATTTGCCTACATTCTCACATTCCACTTACCATTAACTGTTAGATAAGATCCCCCTCCAAAGTACAACATTTCATACAACTGCACACCACAGTGGTAATAGGCGGCATCTCTGGATGTAATCTTGTTGAAGATTAATGCAGATTTATTGTCATCGACTTTGACTTCAAGCCGTGATTCGTTGACAAATTCTTCTTGAAGTTTTATCTTCTTGTAATATGTGGAAACTATAGGGCTTAGCTTTTGTCCTGGGATTTGTTTGAGCCAAACCCAGGTCACAACCGGATCGACAGTGGTGTAGCATTCCAGGATGACCGAACCACCGGCTGGGGCTGTGACTGACACGTTTGGCTGGAAAACACTGGGTGTCATAGACACACCTGATATAAGAGAAGTCCTGATGAGTCCTGGGAAATCATATCTCAATCATTTCCAAAAAACAGAGTGTTAACTTGTTGATGAATGGATTGATTTTCCTGATTATTACTGTAAAACTGCTTTTGAAACAATTTGTATTTTAAGCGCCGTGTAAATAAGAGTGACTTGACGGAAGCACAAAATACTCTATAGGATCATTCTCAAATCATGCAAGAAAAAAGGGTAACACTTTAGTTTAGGGTCCAATTCTCACTTTTAACTTGCTTATTATAACTAGGATTGGCTGTTTATTAGTTCTTATAAAGCACATATTAAAGCCTTATTCTGCATGACCATAGTCTACATCCCTTCCAGTAGGCCTACGTAAACTCAACAACTACCTTACCAACTATTAATAAGCCGTAATTAGGAGTTTATTGAGGCAAAAGTCGAAGTAAATGAGAATTGGACCCTAGTCTAAAGTGACCGAAAAGAGTAATCAACTTGAATCCTGCTGTCATTAAAGCAAAAGACGGACCACATATTGAGAAAGTCTGGTATTCATGTATAATTGTCAATTGATCTTATAAATTCAAATAGTTTAACAGTTAAATCAGAGGTTAATCTGATAATATAATGTATTTAAATAAAATCCTAAATAAACAAATGATAGATTACTTACATGATACGTAGAACAAAAGAGCGTATGCGTGCAGAGCAAACCTCTTGATGGCTGGCATATGAGCTGTCGCCATCCTGAGAACAAAATGAGAATATGGCATATAAACTGATAAGTTTCAGTGTAGCGTGTATGCAAATTGTCCAAACTTCGAAATAAGTTCTCATTGGAGGGAGGTTATTACAATCATATATATGTTCTCTATCTTTCAGTTAACACCCCTTGTCCTCATTCACTTTTCCAATAAACAAGTCTTTGACCTAGTGGACTTCCTGCGTCAATATAGTTCTAGATTTATGGAAACATTTCTTTATCTGTATCATCGGTGTATTTAACTTTCAATTAAACAACAGCTCTGTGAGGCTCCATGACACCAAAACGTTTTTTGAAACATAGTATCAAATGCAATGAATGCTGTGAATATGCATGTTAAAAATATATTTAAAAAACAGAGACTTTGTAAAAGGTCAAAGGTCAGCAAACAGTTCTGTGTCTGTTTTGCATTATGTATATATAAGGGGGAAAAGTATAAACTAAGTGTGCATGATGTGAGAGTGTGTGGGTCAATTTACTCACATTAAGTTGTGTTGAGGGTTTGTGGAAGCTTCTGTGGTTGTTCAAATTGGCCAAAGGTTGGTATAAGATCCACACCAGTAATGATTTTTTTTCTAAGGCGTATTTTATTAAAGCTACATAAAAGTCCTAATTGGATTCTAATTCTAAACCTGGCTTAATCTAAGCCCTGTCTGTGAAACCAGGCCATATTGTTTAAGATCCGTAAAGGGATAGTCTTCAGTATTCCTCAAAACGACACTCTTAGAAGAAAAGGTTCTATCGGCGCTACATATTTGGAACCCCTAAAAGGTTCTATACACTCTTAAAAAAAGGGTTCCTCTGGGTTCTATATAGAACCCTGGGGTTCCATACTTGGCCAATAGAACCTTTTACCAAAATAAATGGTTCCATATAGAACCATTTTGGAGTTCTATATGAAGCGGGGAATGGAACCATTTCTTCTAAGAGTGAAAAACAACACAAACAACACATCAACACAAACACAGAATATTACGCAAACAGGCAATAATTAAATTTGTTAAATTACACAAACATACATCATGTATTTAATCTCACATTAACCAATGACTTTGCTACTGACCTTTGATGATCCAATTTGACTCGAATTAGAAAAGACAAGAATTGAATCATTTGCAATCAAAAGCATCCACCCACTTTGACTTTCTTGTCAACAGGCATTTATTTTTGACATCATAAAAACAAACTATGTTAACTATAATGAAATGTAGGTGATAAGTCAGGCATTTACTGAGAGTGGTATACTTCTATAAAAAGCTTTTGCAGATTATTTTGACCAAAGTGCCTGTCTCAGCGGGTTTCTCCTACACCAGTGTGGGTGCGTTTATCTTAAAAGGTCACTGGTGGCACAAGAACAAACACACATAAAAGAAATCAGGTCAGCACAACACATCCTGAAACAGAAACAAATTAGGGTCTGCTATTGCTTTAGTGCAAAAACCACAACATTACACCAATGCAAGCTTAACACTTTGCAACTGACCATAATTTGGCTATTTAGAATGAGAGAAAGTAATGTGGTTGGTTATCACACATCAACACACTTATAAACAGATACACAGATAAGTGTGTGTGTGTGTGTGTTTGTACAGGTTTATTGTGGGGACCACATGTCCCACAAAGATAGCAAAACCAAGTGTGTGTGTGTGTGTGTGTGTGTGTGTGTGTGTGTGTGTGTGTGTGTGTGTGTGCGTGTGCGCGCATGTGTGTGCGTGTATCCCGGGTGTGTGTGTGTGTGTTCTGTATTATCTTCGTTATGGGGACAAAATGTCTGATCACTCAAAACTGCAACATTCAATATGGCTGCCTGCTAGAGGAAAGCAAGTCAATTAAAATCTTTTCACTTTAGAACGAACATGCACATTTTCTGCACTAACCTGTAAAATGTTTTTATTTAGACTAAGTTTTGACATTTGTTTTGTATGTTATCTACTTCCTGTTCCACAGTAGGAGCTGCACAGCTTTAAAACAATGGTTACCCAGGGGTGTTACTAAAATGACTCCAGTCCTGTAGGTGGCACTAATACTTAAAGGTATAGCGGAGGATCTTTCCGAATTTTAGAGAAGACCCGCCCTCTCCAATTTTTAAAAAAAAAATGCACATGCACAAACACAACACTCTTGCTCCCGAGAGGGAACGCCTATTACGCCTCGCGCAATTATGTTGCAAATTATAAACAAACTCAAAAACATTCATAAAAAAGACAACATGTCAAATGCCCTTTCGTGTTTTATTTACTTATTATACTGATCGACTGAGAGACCGAGGACTCAAGACATAATATACAACCCTGTATCACACGAAATACGTTCTGAGGAAACTATTTTGCAATCGCAATTACGTTAAATGGCAACATATAAGCAGAATCGAAATTACGTTAAATGGCAACATATAAGCAGTGCTATGTCTCATTGTCGTAGGTTTTAATACGTTATTTTTACACATAGTTGCATATGTAATGGAGAAGTAGCTTGTTGCATTTGTGTAATAATAAACACACAAGGTTTTAGAATATTTCAGCGTGATACCATTTACCATTTGGTCAAAAGGCTTTAGACGAATTGAGATGTTTACCGTGTCTATGCGGTGCATTGTGCCAGGGCTAGCATTGCTAAGTAGCTTGCATTAACTTTTACTAGTGATTTTAAATGGATTTCTCCAAATAGCGTGACAAACTTTACCTGTCTAGAATCTTCGCGACTGCGGTGTCAGTGAGAAGCCCAACCTGTGCTTTTAGCGCACGCCAGCGTGTGATATTCACCCACTTGTGTGATATTCAATCACTTTGGTCTTGTTTCTATATTCTGCGGCCTTTCTCTTCTTATCATACACTTCGTATACATTTTTTCTCTTTCGACCCTCAGCCATTTTCAAAGGAATGGCTGAAACCGTAACTCCGACATAATACACCTGAAAGTGAAAACTACATAGGGATGAGCACGTACGACGGCCTTACGTAAACATATCACCAGAATGATTGACACTTAGGTGGACCAATAGTATAGACTACCCACCCGGAAAAAGAAAATCCTCTGCTATACCTTTAAAGTCCCTGTAAAGTCAATTCTACAAAAAAGTTCTAAACGCATTATAAATGTTATATATGTATTGCTAAAACATATTACAAAGACTGTGAACTGTGAAGTACTGAAATGTGCAGTTAGACCGTTAAACAGTTTTTCACCATTGCAATTTTACAGATTGTTTGGGCGGGGCTAAAACAGGGCTCGATGACGAACAGTGCCTGGACACGCCCCTATTTGATGACGCACAGAGTCTGATCTCTCCCCTAACACACAATAACACTCCCCGAGCACATTCGCATTCACCGCTCAATCGCGAGTGACTGTCAGTACTATTAGTTACTACAGCTGAGCCTACAGTTTGCTACCTATGCCTTCGACACGGACATGCATGGGCTACCTGGATGCGATCACGTACAAAACAGATCGGTATTTTCATTTAAATTCCCTAAAAAGGATCACATCAAGAAGAGGTTTTTAGAGAGCCAACCTTGATGAAGAGCTGAGGATCACTGCCAACACCCACCTCTGTAGTGATCATTTTACACTGGATCGTTTTATAAACTTTCCTCAGAGGCAACTGGGATTCACTGATAATCCACTGTTACTGGTGAACAGGGCCGAAACGACTATCTCCCGCCTCAACGTTTATCCTCCCGTCGCGAAAGCAGTTTCGCGTAATATCACCGTCGAAAGCTTTCCCGCTAGTGGGCGTGGTTTCAGCACAGCCACCGAACACACCCCCAGCGTTTGAGGACAGAGATAATTGCTAATTTTTTCAAGATTTTGATAGCTTATTTTATGTACTTGCCAGCTTTTTTTATCATTCAAATTTGGCTGGGTGGCTAATAACATATTTTTCTGTGGTGTGACAAACTCAGAACACATACTTCATTTTGACTTTACAGGGACTTTAAGCTGGTTTTAGAAAGAAAGTAGAGAAAAAACAGCAGTGGGAAAGGGCAAGGGGGTAATCCATCGACCGGAAGTTGAAGACTCGCGGGAGCTGCCATCTTGTAGCAGAACTTCACTTGCGTTAGCATTCCCATTGACTCCCATTCATTTTGGCGTCACTTTCACAGCGAAAAACTTTACATCTGAGGCGTTTGATGACCCCATTTGTCCATTATTTATTTCTAAAGAAACACAACAATGTATAAAATGCTCCATTACCTTGTAGCTTATGGCCCGTAGAAGCAGTTTTTTGTAAAAGCAGGCTAATGATTGAGCCATACCCACGCGACTCTCTGTCGCACAGTAGAGAGAGATTACAGTATGGACAGGAAGAGAAGCTTGTGAGCAATCGGGAAAACGTGGTGACAAAATGACATAATTCATCAGAATACCTAGCAAAAGTTTCTCCTGCTCCTAGCTCATGGAAGGCTCCTACTCACACTCTCTGCATGTTTCGGAAGCGAATGATTTAGATTTCTCATGCCACAGCCACTAGAAGACAGACGGGTAGCCCATGTCACATCTACATCGTCAAGCTCTGTTTGAGTCTGCGTGTCAGGAACGGAAGTGCTAAAAAATCGGGCTTCACTCGTCTCAATGGAGTTTCAATGAGATGGCTCTGTCCACTTCTTATACTGTCTATGGGAAAGGGAGAGTGAAGGGATACATTTATATTCCATTCAAAATGAAGCTGGTTTTGTAAAGAATAGAGGAGGGAGTAGAAAATAAGAAATAGTTACGGTCATAATAAGAATAGGTCTCAGTAATTGGATCAATACACTATACATTTTTAGGGAAGGACCCAACTTATTTCTGATTATTGTAAGGTTTTAGAAAACTATAGAACATGTGCTTATGATTTGCAGGTCTATTTCTAATACTTCAAACAACATCCAACACTCAATCAAAATATTTCAGGCTATTTCTCTAGAATCCTATGTGATTTTCCAACTAACTTCCATGCTGAGAAGACAACTATCAGTACACTTGGAGATTTGATAGGGTGGGGGAGGAGTGTTTGTATTTGAACTATTACTGGCTTGTCCAGTTCAACAACAAAGTGAGGTGACACATAAAACTTTGGGTGGAGGGGTCTGTCTGTACATAAACCGGAGATGGTGCACTAACGTTACTGTAAGAGAGAGGATCTGTCACTCTGACATCGAACTGTTGTCTGTGTCACTTCGGCCGTATTACCTCCCTAGAGAGTTTCCCCAGATTTTCGTGTCTGTGGCTTATATCCACCCCAAAGCTGACGCTAAGTCCGCCGCGGATATTATTTTTAAAACCGTAAACAAACTTCAGTCTATTTCCCCTGGTGCTCCTAATTTTATTCTTGGCGATTTTAACCATTGTAAAGAAAACACTGAGCAGTTTTTATCAGTATGTAACATGTCCCACACGTCGTAACAAAACTCTAGACCTATGCTACGGCTCCATTAAAGGTCCAAGGCGGGGCCAGCACTGGGTTCCTCTGACCACAATTCTGTCCACCTCTTACCCACCTACACCTCGGTGTTGAGGAGGGAGAACCCTGTCAGAAAACAGGTGAAGGTCTGGACAGAGGACAGCTCTTCAGCGCTACAAGCCTGCTTTGAGTGCACAGACTGGACAGTGTTTCAGGACTCCTGTTCTGATATTGATGAACTCACTGATGTTGTCTGTAGTTACATCTCTTTTTGTAAAGACTCTGTTCTCCCGAGTAAGGAAGTCAAGGTGTTTAAGGACATTAAGGATTCGCTAATCAAGCGAAAAACTGTTTTTAATGAAGGTGATGTGTATGCTGAGAGGGCTGTAAAAAAAGAGATTAGGGCTAAAATTAAAAAAGCTAAATTAAGGTACAAGGATAGAATTAAAGCAGATCTGAGAAGTAATAATTTAAAGAAAACCTGGAATGGTATGAAGACACTGATTGGGTCAAATGATAAAGCTAAAAGAGTTGTTCTAGATGGTTTTTCATCTGATAAACATTTGGCTGATGAATTCAATGTATTTTATTCTCGATTTAACAATTTGGATTTTGATAATGAAATTGAGGGTTTTGGGGCTATCACACAGGCAGCTCCATCAATTACTATTGGCAGTAAGACTGTGGCCAACATATTCAAGCGCACCAGATCAAAAAGTCCGGGGCCAGATAAGATTTGTGGGCAATTATTAAGAATATGTGCAGATCAACTCTGTAATATCTTTCAGTGCATTTTTAATTTGTCTTTATTACAACAAAGAGTTCCTAGAAGTTGGAAGCATTCTATTATCGTGCCTATAGCCAAGTGCTGCCCCCCAAAATCTTTGAATGATTTTAGACCTGTAGCCTTGACCTCATTGGTCATGAAAAGCTTTGAAAAAATTATTAAAGAGGCTGTTTTACTGCAGGTTGGAGATCAGCTGGATCCACTGCAGTTTGCATATAGGTCTGGTAGGGGTGTGGAGGATGCTGTGATCACACTTTTGCACTTTATTTTTAGCCACCTGGATAGAGAAAAAACTCATGCCAGACTTTTATTTGTTGATTTCACTTCTGCTTTTAACACTATTCAGCCCCTTTTGCTCGCTAAGAGACTGATTGCGGATTTTAACCTGGATTTGAATTTGGTGGGCTGGGTATTGGACTTTTTAACAGATAGATCACAGCGGGTGAGGGTAAACAGTACCCTATCTGAAGTCACGTTTACATCTACTGGTTCTCCCCAAGGTTGCTGTCTGTCTCCTCTCCTGTACATCCTGTACACAAATCAGTGTCGCAGTTTGTACCAAGATAGATATACTGTATACTCAAGTTTGCGGATGATTCTGTTATCGTGAGCTTGCTATCGGGGAATGAGCGGGACCATGGGCCAGCCCTGAGTGACTTTGTAGAGTGGTGTGATAGTTCTTTTTTACAGCTGAACGTATCTAAAACCAAGGATATGGTCATCGACTTACGTTGGACACCACCTCCCTCTACAGTCACGGTTATTAAGGGCACGGATATTGAGCCCGTTGAGACATACAAATATCTTGGAGTTATTTTAGATAATAAATTGAGTTTTGAACCGTTGGTAGACGCTGTCTCAAAGAAATTTCAACAAAGAATGTATTTTCTTAGGAAATTGGATAGTTTTAATGTTTCTTCAGAAATGATTACTCTGTTTTATCGTGCTTCCATTGAATCGGTTTTATCTTTTTGCATTTCTGCTTGGTTTGGTAGCCTCTCCCTGATAAATAAAAACAGACTAGGTAATCTGGTTAAAGTGGCAAGCAGGATTTCCAGGAGAGGTCAGGCTCAACCAGGGGAGTTATACAAAAAACAGGTCCACAGGAAAGTTAGTGCTATATCTCATGCACAGGATCATCCCCTCTAAGCGGCGTTACCGAGTCCCTAGATGCAGAACAAAGAGGTTGCATATATCCTTCATTCCGGCAGCTGTGAGGCATCTTAATGGCACTTAGCACTTTATACTTTATATTGATTAGCAAAAGTTGCATTTTTGCACTTTGATGGTTTTGTAAATTATTTATTTATTTATTATATATTATGTATTGGGCGCTAATGTGAATTCCTGCCTTCTGTGCTTCTGCTGGTTGGTTCTGCTGTTGTGTGTCGTTGTGTGTTATGTGTTTTTATGTGAGCATTTGCTGCGAATTCAATTTGCCCTTACGGGACAATAAAGGTACTTTGAACAACAAACATCACGATCAACAAAGAGATATAGTCTAAACATGTGTCAGTTTTACTTTCTCCTTCACGTTAGTTGAAACATTCACATCAGAAAGAAGCCATTTTATGAAATGCAACCATTTTCAGGAACACAAACACATTTTTATTTTTTAGACATCTGCGGTAAAGACACTAATAAAGGTCTGAGGGAGGAATTGATCACTGAGAAGGATTAATTATTATTTGAAGCAATATATTTTATTTGGATTTGGCAATGGCAGACGGTAAGAGACATCGGTAACACTTTACAATAAGGTTAATTATTTAACATTGGTTAATGTATTAACTAACATGAACTAACCATGAGCAATACATTTGTTACAGTATTTGTTAATCTTCGTTGATGTTAGTTAATGATAATAAAGCTGTTCATTGTTTGTTCATGTTAGTTCACAGCGCATTAACTAATGTTAACAAGATTTTAATAAAGTATTAGTAAATATTGAAATTAACGTTTGCAAAGATTAATAAATGCTGTATAAGTGCTGTTCATTATTAGTTCATGCTAACTAATGTAGTTAACTAATGTTAACTAATGAACCTTATTGTAAAGTGTTACCGAGACATCAAATGAAGCATTTTCAAGAAAAAAATTGTAGGATGTGGTGATTCTTCTTTCTCTTCTTTTGTAATCAATCACTTTAAAATAATTTTCATGAAAATTAATTAAAAATAAAATAAATACTTTGTCATCCTCTTCCTGCTTTTGTTTTACAGAATTGCGATTAGTGTTATTAGGAGGACATCAGAGTGGGAAGAGTAATGTGGCACACTCCTTTTTAAATGTTAAACGTGAATCTGATCAAATAACCACAGAGTGTGTGAAGATGGAAGGAGACATAAACGGCAGGAAAATCATTCTTGTGGACACCCCAGGCTGGTGGAAGTGTTATCAGTTATGTGACTCCACAGAGTGCCTGAAAGCAGAGCTTGTTAGGAGCACCAGTGTCTGTCCACCGGGACCTCATGCTTTCCTGCTGGTGATGGAGGTTGACCTTGATTTCTCAGAGAAGCACGGGAAAGCAGCCGAGGGTCACATGCAGTTCATTAGTGAAGACGTCTGGGATCAAACCATTATAGTCTTTACAAAACTCCAACATTTGGGTGACAGAACTATGGAGCAATATGTAGAAATTGAAGGGGAAAACTTGCAAAAGCTTACTCAAAAATGTGGAAACAGATATGTTGGTTTTGACACTGACCTGGATCGAGATGGTTCCCAGGCGAAAGAGCTATTTAGGCAGATAGAGAAACTTGTTGCTGAAAACAATGGCCGTTCTTTTAAAGCTGATGCAAAAAGACTGAATGATTTGGAGACTAAAATAAAAAATGTGGAAGAGAGAGCAGCTGCCAGAGCACAACAAGTTTTGGAGAAGAGAAGAAAACTGGAAGAAATAAAAAGGAATGCCGGTCAGTAATTTCAGTTTGTTGTTATTTTACTCAGGATAACCATAACTTGTATTGCATAAAAATGATCAATTGACATTGCAATCATCTGTAGCCTACAACATATTATAAAAAAAATAATTTTAATCATTTATTTATAATATATTTATACATGCATAAGTATTGTATTATAATATATTATAATACTATAAAATAATATGTATTTATAATTGTTGTAAATATTTCACAAGTCTATTTATTTTAAATATATTATCAATATTTTCAACAGAAGCCGAGCATGATGGATCACCTCTGAATATTGTGCTGCTGGGATGGGTCCTGTCCGGCAAGACATTGGCTTGCAATCTCATCTTGGGTGATGACGTTTCATTTGACAAAACTGTAAAGTGTGTCAGAACACGTGGAGAAGTGAATGGAAGAAATGTCACTGTAGTGGACACTCCAAGCTTTTGGAAATTTCTTCCATACCAACTGAACGCAGATTCTGTGAACACTGAGATATTGAAGGCAATGGATCCTTGCCCTGATGCAATCCTCTTGCTTATACCTTTAGACACGTCGTTTTCAGAAGAGCAGATGGAAATCATATTAGAAAACATGAGACCACTTGGTGAGAAGGTTTGGAGGCAAACCATGGTGCTCTTCACATGTGGAGGAAAATTGGGAAACAAACCTATTGAGTACCACATTGAAAGTGAAGGGGACGCCCTTGTGCGACTCGTGGAGATGTGCGGGAACAGATATCATGTGTTTGAGAGCATGAGCATGAGAGAAGATCGCACCCAAGTAGATCAGTTACTGGAGAAGATTAAGGAAATGATAAGGGAAGGTGCTCTGCTGGAAAGTAATGATGAACATCAGGGGAAGAACAAGAAGTCCCAAGAAAGAGAAACCCTATCTGAGTGGCTTCGAGTTGAGGATGTCAAAAAATTACTTAATGAAGAATGGGAGAGAAGTAATGCTATGATGAAAGATATGTTGAAAACAATGAGCACACAGAAATTTGTCAGAACAGGAAAAAGTTTAGATGAACCTCTGGATTGTATGTGTAGATTTTTGCAATACATTTATTTTGATCTCAGTGGCTCATACTCACTTTAATTGCCCCATTTCGATTTTGCTTGCAGTAAGAGGAGAAGGGATAAATACAGAATTATTTATCAACAAACACCAGCTGAAAGATGCAATTGAGAGGGAATGGAATCGTCAGGAAGCAGTAGACAGTGCTAGGATCCAGTATAAACTAAAATGCCTGAATGCCAATGGTAAGTACAGAAAACATTATACAATTCACTAATTTGGAAATGTTTGTCTAAGTGTGGCTGGTAGCCAAAAAAGTTCTGTGCTGCCAACAAACAGATTGCAAATTCAACTGACAAGTCAAGTATTGTATTGTATTGATTTTTATTGATTTTTATTTAAAGGGACCATGAGCAATTAATAACATAAATGTAAACATTTGATGCATTACACCAGAGTTAGCCTTAGGCTAATTTACATCTGCAGTCCCCCGGCACAAATAAATACAGATACATACGACACAGATTAAAATATCAACACTATTCAAGAATATTTGGCATATCAAACATAATACATCCAACATTCTTCAAGAGCATATAACATGTACTTAATAACCTCACTGACACGCACACACACACACACGCGCACACACACACACACACACACACACACACATACACACACACACACACACACTCACACACTAAAATCACAACATACAACGATATGTCCACCCACAACCCCTTCTCAACCCTATAATAAAAAGGTAAATGTGACTGAAAAATAATTTTACTTAATAATAAATTAGTGGATACATTGTTGCGGAAATTTTAAATGTTTTTTTATATTATCTTTAAAGTGCCCAAACGAATCAGATGTTTTTATATTGTCTGGAATTATATTCCATTGTATTGCAGCTTTGATAGAAAAGGCTGTCTGCCCAAATGCTGAATAGCGAAAGGGTACAGTACAGCTATATACAGAATCTAGTCTAGTGGTCCTCACAGAGCCACGGTAACAGATAAACTCACGCAAACATGTGGGGGCCAGACCTTTTAAAATTTTATAAACTGTGCATAAATTTGAGAACAATCTAAAATTTTCAAAAGTTAGTAGATTATACTTCTGAAGTATGTCACAGTGATGGTGCCTGAGTGGCTTTTTGTCAAGAATTTTCAGGCCTTGTTTGTACAGGGATTCTAAGGGCCTAATTGTTGTTTGGCTAGCCTGCCCCCAGCAGGTGATACAATATGCGATATGTGAGAAGATAAGGGCATGTAGAAAAATCTTAGCAGCCTCTATTGTTAGAGAGGATCTAATCTGTCTGTAATTTGCCAAATTGTATTTAATTATTTTTGTCATTTTCTTTATGTGTTTTTTAAAAGTCAGATTTGAATCAAGCAGCACTCCAAGATATTTAATTTCAGTCACAGTCTCAATCTGTTCACCTTTAAAGCAGATGTTTACGTCTAAGTGGTTTAGTTTAGTTTTGGAGAAGAACATGCCTTTCGTCTTACCTATATTCAAGGTAAGACAGGATTGGTCCAACCACTCGGCCACTCCAACCAAGGCGTTGGTTAATTTAGTAGCAGCTTGTTGAGCTGAAGTTGCATGAGTGTACAAGACTGTATCATCAGCATAGAGTTGTACCTCTACATCATGACAGTGCTGAGGTAAATCATTAATGTACAAACTAAATAGTAGTGGGCCTAACACAGATCCCTGAGGGACACCCGTTGTGTACCCCAAGGTGCTGGAGCGTGAGTCATTGATTTTTACACACTGCCTTCTATTGGATAGGTAAGACGAAATCCATGCTAGTGTATTGGATGAAAGGTTGAAGCTAATGAGTCTGGACATAAGGACATTGTGATTAACTGTGTCAAAGGCCTTACTTAAGTCCAAAAACACAGCTCCAACAACTCCTCCTTTATCAAGAGCGGATCTAATTTGCTCTGTTAAGTGTAAAACTGCTGTTTCTGTGGAATGAAGTTTTCTAAATCCAAACTGGACTGAATTTAGACCGGGGTTGCAACTGTCAATGTGATCTGTAAGTTGGTTTATGATCACTTTTTCAGCAACCTTAGAAATTACTGGTAATAAACTAATGGGTCTGTAATTACTGACTACATGGCGGTCACCAGCTTTAAAGATAGGAGTTACAATCGCATGTTTCCAGTCCATTGGAAAGGTATTATGAGTAATTGAAAGGTTTACTAAGTGGGCAATAGGGGGGGTTAGAGTAGCCGAATGTTTTTTAATAAACATCGTGTCCTGGTGAAAAGTATCTTTGCTTTTTGAATTTCTTAGAGAACTAATCACTTTATTAATTAATATTAAAAGTACTTAAGTTTCTTTTGAAAAAATGTCAGATAACCACAGCTTTGTTTTATTTCCTTATAGCAGAGACATCCTCATGTGCTGATGAAGAGGACATAAAGATGTCTTGCGCTAAAGTGAATGAATGGCATCAGAAGAATCATTTCTCAGACTATGGAAGTGTTTCCAGTTATGAAGAACATGACAAGACTGAACAGGATAGAGACTAATCATGAGGACGATCTGAAAATGCATGCTTTGACAATTTTTATCATGCAGTTTTATTATAGAATGCATTTAATTTCCGTACAAACAGAGTGTACTTTTTATTATCTTTCACTTCTTTGACCCATTAATCTGCACTAGCTGGATGCACACTGTGTGATTTTTGTGCAAATCCTAAAAGAATCCTCTGATCCGGTGTTACGTCATGTTATTATTTGTCTGTTGTTGTTTTTTTTCTTCTCCTTTTCTTTCCCCTCTTTACTTTCACGCTTAGCAGGACGATGCGGCTACCTGATTGGTTCATCCACCAGCCAATCATCGAATAGCTTGGTGATGATGCAACGGGGCCTCACCAATCAGGGCGCATTGTGTGCCTATAAAGAGCGCGCCTGTGTTAAAAAACAAGCGGGAGATTCGACTTGATTTGTTTGTGATTGATGTTTGCTCTGTACTGTTCTGATTGTTTGAGTAGCGCAGTGTTCTTTGAGAACTTGTTTTATCTTTTCTCTGAGTGTGTCACCGTTGGTCTAGTTGTTAGACCTGTTGTTAAACGGGGAAGAGAAAAGAACAGGTGAGATATCACGTGATATACATATGCTACACTGAGCTGTAGAATTTTGTATATAACACTAGTTTAGCGACACGTGCCATTCATAGTATTTTTCGTTTGGTAGCAAGAGTAATTATTTAGGCCGTCTCTGACGATGAAGATCTTTTGTTTTTCTGATGAATGTCCATTTAGTTAGGTTATAAATTGTTTTGTTTATAATTAGTTAGATTGGATTTGGTTTTGTTTCTTTCTTTGATTTGGCATTTTCTAGTTCTTTTCTCTTAACCTCTTTCTTTTATGAACCTTTTTCTTTGGTTGTAATTTGTATATAATTTGTACGCTCATTTAAATAATTGTTTTGAGGGGTTCTTTACATCTTGCTTCTCACAACAATAAATCCTCATTATATGTAAATGTGAATGGTTTGTGTGAGATGTTTTCCAGTACAGGCTCAGTATTTTAATGTTGCACGCCTTACTCTCCCAGACTAAAAGAGGTTTGTAACACTAGGTTAGAATCTGAAGTCTTTAAAAGTTAGTTTGACATGTTGACCGACAGCCAATACATTTTACTAACACATTTTAATTGTTGCAATCATATTTTTCCTCTGACGAAATTCTGGCAGTGTCAGAAGATTTGACGCAGTCCTGAGATATTACCTCAGAAGTTTAAAGGAGAACTCCGACGAACAATGAACCTTTGGTCTAATAAAACATCGGTACATAGTCAACCGTTCTCTGAAATTTGTTTCATGATAATCGAATGTAAAAAGTTTTATCTCTAAAAACTGTTTAGCGTATAATGCTAGTAATGGGGGCATTGACTAAGTAAAAAGAAATCGCTAGTTTATACCACTAACAAGGCTCAAAATAGCCCCACACTAACGCAGTAACATAATGAGGCTCCATACATGCAAAACGAAGCATTGAGAACTTTGTAAGTGTACAGACCGTTTAATAAGAAGATATTTTATGAAGACAGTTCACTTCGCGTATACAGACAGTAGCTATCTTAAAAAATAGTCTCGATAAGTCGAACCACGAACATCGTGCTGAGTGATCTGAACTGTATGAAGTTCAACGAACTTCTGAACTGTATGAATGGCGTTCGGGGATCGACTTATCAAGACTATTTTTTAAGATGGCTCCTGTCTGTATACGCGAAGTGAACTGTCTTCATAAAGTATCTTCTTATTAAACGGTCTGTACACTTACAAAGTTCTCAATGCTTCGTTTTGTATGTATGGAGCCTCATTATGTTACTGCGTTAGTGTGGGGCTATTTTGAGCCTTGTTAGTGGTATAAACTAGCGATTTCTTTTTACTTATTCAATGCCCCCATTACTAGCATTATACGCTAAACAGTTTTTAGAGATAAAACTCTTTACATTCGATTATCATGAAAACAAAACTCAGAGAATGGTTAACTAGGTACCGACGTTTTATTAGACCAAAGGTTCATTGTTCGCCGGAGTTCTCCTTTAAGTCCATGCACACCCGTGCTCATTCAAGGGTGTGCATCTACTGCATGGACGGAGAGAAAGCACTGACAACTGCAGAATTTCATCTGACGGTACTACTTATTTAACACTAAAAATTTAAGCAAGCAAATCTGTTCCATGAGAGCAACAGTCCCGCATAACAAGTGTGGTCTCTAACTCTCTATATCTATAACTGTCTAATAACACATATCTGTGTGTTTGTGTGTGGGCGCGTGCGTGCGCATAACAGAGTTATATATAAAGTGTGTGTGTCTCACTTGCTAATAATGATCTGTTAAATAATCACACTGAAAGATGATTGAATAGAATAAGGTTTCCATGGGTTCCTATTGGCTGGCTGGTTCTTGATGCTGTGCGCCCTATGACACAATTATCAGTTCAAGTGTGTAAGGCCAGTGGTAAAGTTGTGTGATTGAGGGCTCTGTAATTCTGTCTGTAATTATCGGTCCATGAAATGTGTGATATATTATGACCAACAGCATATATATTCAAAACTAGGAAAAGTGTTTTCTATTGGTGAAGAGTGTGAAAAATGTGTGTTTTATTATAACGCCAGCACAAGGAGTGTCGTATGCTAAACTCACTCTGTTACATAATGTTTTCTCAGGTATATGCTAATGAGCGATTGAACTATGTGTGTGTGTGTGTGTGTGTGTGTGAAAGAGAGAGAGAGGGGGGGGGGGGGGCACGGGCGCGATCGAACAGTGGAAACATAAAAACATACTCTGTCATTTTGTTCATGGACATCATTCAAACTGCTTAGTGTTTACTTATATTTGTGTACACTTGCAAACACTTTAAAACATAGCAGCTTCTGTCACTCTAAACTCTTGTCAAACTGTAACCTACAACGGTCACCCAACAACACACACACACACACACACACACACACACACACACAGTTGTTTTAAAAGCAAAACATATTTATCCAACAAAACAGTCTGTGGGTTCCATCTTTTGGACATCATATCGCATTAGTTTTCCTTCCTTGTCTTTGAGTCCAGCACTAATCTGTTTATTTTTAAGTCACATTCTACATTGATTAATAAAGAAAATCAAATGTGTTTTTAATGGTAGTATTATTTTATACAGAAATATTTTTTTAGATTTCAGATGAGAATAAAGTTAGGGTTCATTAAAATTAAGGAAAACTACGGAGCCCCCCTATATAATCCCACTTTGGCAAAAAAAAATTAATTATAACTATCTCGTGGCCTCAAGATACTGACTCGTGGCCTCAAGATACTAACTCGTGGCCTCAAGACAGTAACTCGTGGCCTCAAGACACTAACTCGTGGCCTCAAGATAGTAACTCGTGGCCTCAAGATACTAACTCGTGGCCTCAAGATACTAACTTGTGGCCTCAAGACAGTAACTCGTGGCCTCAAGACAGTAACTCGTGGCCTCAAGATACTAACTCGTGGCCTCAAGATAGTAACTCGTGGCCTCAAGATACTAAATCGTGGCCTCAAGATAGTAACTCGTGGCCTCCAGATACTAACTCGTGGCCTCCAGATACTAAATCGTGGCCTCAATATAGTAACTCGTGGCCTCAATATAGTAACTTGTGGCCTCAAGATAAAACTCGTGGCCTCAAGCCTCAAGATAAAACTCGTGGTCTCAAGATTCAAGTATCTTGAGGCCACGAGTTAGTATCTTGAGGCCACACCCCTCCTCCACTGTGTTTGGACAGCTGGGTAAAAAGTGACAGTGACGAGCGCTGCGTTTTATCCAAAGTTGAACATTTTTCAACTCCCAGCGACCAGTAAAAACGCTGAGCGCTCGGCGCTTCAGCGTGAAAAAAACCGCTCAGCGCCTCAGTGCGCTCATGGCGTTTAAAAAACACGGCGCTCCCATTGAAAACATACACCAGGCGCGTGGAAAAACGCTTTGGTGGACACACGGCCTTAGAGAGTAGAGTAGAGAGATTACCGTATGGACAGGAGGAGAAGCTTGCGGGCAATTGGGGAAACGTGGTGACAAAATAATTAATCAGAATACCTAGCAAAAGTTTCTCCTGCTCCTAGCTCATGGAAGGCTCCTACTCACACTCTCTGCATGTTTCAGAAGCGAATGATTTAGATTTCTCATGCCACAGCCACTAGAAGACAGACAGGTAGCCCATGTCACATCTACATCGTCAAGCTCTGTTTGACTCTGCGTGTCAGGAATAGAAGTTCTAAAAAAAAAAAGCCAAAACCGGGCTTCACTTGTCTCAATGGAGTTCCAATGAGATGGCTCTGTCCACTTCTTATACTGTCTGGGAAAGGGAGAGTCAAAGGACACATTTATATTCCATTCAAAATAAAGCTGCCATGGTTTTATAAAGAATAGAGGAGGGAATAGAAAAGAAGAAATAGTTATGGTCATAATAAGGTCTCAGTAATTGGATTAATACACTATACATTTTAGGGAAGGACCCAACTTATTTCTGATTATTGTAAGGTTTTAGAAAACTATAGAACATGTGCTTATGATTGGCAGGACCACAAAAAAATCCAACACTCAATCAAAATATTTCAGGCTATTTCTCTAGAATCCTATGTAATTTTCCAACTAACTTCCATGCTGAGAAGACAACTATCAGTACACTTGGAGATTTGATAGGGTGGGGGAGGAGTGTTTATATTTGAACTATTAGCTACTGGTTTGTCCAGTTCAACCACAAACATCATGATCAACAAAGAGATCTAGTCTAAACATGCGTCAGTTTTACTTTCTCCTTCGCATTAGTTGAAACATTCACAATGGAAAGAAGCCATTTTATGAAATGCAACCATTTTCATGAACAAATTTTTCTTTTTAGAAATCTGTGGTAAAAATACAAAAAAGGGACTGAGAGAGGAAGTGATCACTGAGAAGGATTAATCATTTTTTCAAGCAATATATTTTTTTTGGATTTGGCAATGGCAGACGGTAAGAGACATCAAATGAAGCATTTTCAAGAAAAAAATTGTAGGATGTGTTGATTCTTCTTTCTCTTCTTTTGTAATCAATCACTTTAAAATTATTTTCATGAAAATTAATTAAAAATATAAATATAATGTTTAGTAGATATTTGGTTAGAAAATAGTAGATAATTGGTTATACTTTGTCAACCTCTTCTTCCTTTTGTTTTACAGAACTGCGATTAGTGTTATTAGGAGGATATCAGAGTGGGAAGAGTAATGTGGCACACTCCTTTTTAAATGTTAAACGTGAATTTGTTCAAATAACCACACAGTGTGTGAAGATGGAAGGAAACATAAACGGCAGGAAAATCATTCTTGTGGACACCCCAGGCTGGAGGAACTGTTATCAGTTATGTGACACCATGGAGCGCCTGAAAGATGAGCTTGTTCTGAGCACCAGTATCTGTCCACCGGGACCTCATGCTTTCCTCCTGGTGATAGAGGTTGATTTTGCTTTCTCGGAGAAGCATAGGAAAGTAGCTGAGGGTCACGTGCAGTTCATTAGTGAAGACATCTGGGATCAAACCATTATAGTCTTCACAAAACTCCAACATTTGGGTGACAAAACTATAGAGCAATATGTAGAAAGTGATGGGGAAAACTTGCAAAAGCTTACGCAAAAATGTGGAAACAGATATGTTGGCTTTGACACTGACCTGGATAGAGATGGTTCCCAGGCGAAAGAGCTATTTAGGCAGATAGAGAAACTTGTTGCTGAAAACAATGGCCGTTCTTTTAAAGCTGATGCAAGAAGGCTGATGAATTTGGAGATTAAAATAAAAAATGTGGAAGAGAGAGCATCTGCCAGAGCACAACAAGTTTTGGAGAAGAGAAGAAAACTGGAAGAAATAAAAAGGAATGCCGGTCAGTATCCAATTTCAGTTTGTTGTTATTTTACTCAGGATAACCATAACTTGTTTTGCATAAAAACTATCAGTTGTTGTTTACACTGCAATCAGCTGTAGCCTATAACATTACAGTATACTAAAGTCTCTAAAAGTTTGTTATAAAATAATTATTTCAATTATATTTTAATATATAAATATTGTATTATAATACTATAAAATAATATGTATTTATAATTATTATAAATATTTCACAATTCTATTTTATAATAATAATTATAAATAATTATAATAATTATATTTTAAATATATTATAAATACATTTTTTCAACAGAAGCCGAGCATGATGGATCACCTCTGAATATTGTGCTGCTGGGGTGGGTCCTGTCCGGCAAGACATTGGCTTGCAATCTCATCTTGGCTGATGACGTTTCATTTGACAAAACTGTGATGTGTGTCAGAACACGTGGAGAAGTGAACGGAAGAAAGGTCACTATAGTGGACACGCCAAGCTTTTGGAAATTTCTTCCATATCAACTAAACGCAGATTCTGTGAATACTGAGATATTGAAGGCAATGGATCCTTCCCCTGATGCAGTCCTCTTGGCTATACCTTCAGACACATCGTTTTTAGAAGAGCAGACGAAAGTCATATTAGAAAACATGAGACCACTTGGTGAAAAGGTTTGGAGGCAAACCATGGTGCTCTTCACATGTGGAGGAAGATTGGGAAACAAACCTATTGAGTACCACATTGAAAGTGAAGGGGACGCCCTTGTGCGACTCGTGGAGATGTGCGGGAACAGATATCATGTGTTTGAGAGCTTGAGCATGAGAGAAGATCGCACCCAAGTAGATCAGTTACTGGAGAAGATTGAGGAAATGATAATGGAAGGTGCTCTGCTGGAAAGTAATGATGAACATCAGGGGAGGAACAAGAAGTCCCAAGAGAGAGAAACCCAATCTGAGTGGCTTCGAATTGAGGATGTCAAAAAAATACTTAATGAAGAATGGGAGAGAAGTAATGCTATGATGAAAGATATGTTGAAAACAGTGAGCACACACAAATTTGTCCGAACAGGAAGAAGTTTAGATGAACCTCTGGATTGTATGTGTACATTTTTTCAAAACATTTATTTTGATCTCAGTGGCTTATACTCACTTTAATTGCCTATTTATGATTTTGCTTGCAGTAAGAGGAGAAGGGATAAATACAGAATTATTTATCAACAAACGCCAGCTGAAAGATGCAATTGAGAGGGAATGGAATCGTCAGGAAGCAGTAGACAGCTCTAGGATCCAGTATAAACTAAAATGCCCGAACGCCAGAGGTACGAGTCCGGAAAACATTATACGATTCACTAAGTTGGAAAAGTTTGTCTAAAAAAAAAAAAAGCTGATAGCTAAAAAAGTTCTGTGCTGCCAACAAACAGATTGCAAATTCAACTGACAAGTCAAGTACTTATAGGTTTCTTTTAATAAAATGTGAGATAACCAAATCTTTGTTTTATTTCCTTATAGCAGAGATATCCTCATGTGCTGATGAAGAGGACATAAAGATATCTTGTGCTAAAGTGATTGAATGGCATCAGAAGAATCATTTCTCAGACTATGGAAGTGCTTCCAGTTATGAAGAACATGACAAGACTGAACAGGATTTAGACTAATCATGAAGACGATCTGAAAATGCATGTTTGGACAATTTTTATCATGCAGTTATTATTATAAATGCATGTCATTTTCGCACTACATATTGTACTTTTTATTATCTTTCACTTCTTTGATCCAGTAATCTGCTTTAACAAGCACTAGCTGGATGCACACTGTGAGATTTTGGCCACGATTTGGCCTCCTGAGACAAAATTTGCAAACCCTAAAAGAAAACCTCTGATCCTATAAGCTAAAATCTGAAGTCTTTAAACGTTAGTTTGACATGTTGATGCCAACATGCCAATTCATTTTACCATCACATTTTAATTGTTGCAATCAGAATATCGCAGTCCTGCAGTGTGACTTCTCCTATGACAACCAAAAAAAACATCTTCGTTTTTCAAGAGAAGCCGTGACCAAATGAACGTTAGAGATTTATTTGTAGCACCATTTAAATCCCGCGTGTAACGCAGCTCACTGTCACCGAACGTGTCTTTGATGTTAAACTCCAGACGATTTTTCTTGTGTGCACTTGCTTTTTAATGCGTCTTGACTGTCGTACAGTCTAACATTAATGACAACTGAGATCTTACAGTGTCACATGGCTTACAGAGATGATCACGTTCGTTCAGTCTGAAAAGCAACAATCGTAAAGGACGATAATAAATGTTAACATGTAATAAATGTTGCTGTTTGAGCATAAACAACATCTGCAAAGTTACGACGCTCAAAGTACAAAGCAAAGTGAGATATTTTCTTTTAATAAAATTGCTTTTTAAGACTAATCAGCTGGTAGGGACTACAGGACATTCTTCCTGGGTTAGTGACATCAAACCCTCATGACAGAATATGCTAATCAATTACTAGAAGATAACTACACATAAGCTACATAAATTCATCAGCTAACCATTCAGAAATGTTGTCTGCATGTCACTTCTTCTTGAGTCTCTCCACCTTTGTCTGACTCCACTTCTTTGAACATAAAAGGCTAAACGTTTTAGAAATTTTCAGGACACAAGCTGTTGTAGCTCCGCCCCCTGCGCTGGGAGCAGCAGCTCATTTGCTTTTAAAGGGACAGACATAAAGTTAAATGTTTTTTAAAAGTTAAACTGACATATGATATGTCATTGCAAGTTGCTTAAAGTTAAAAAAGCTCAAACATTCAATTTAGTATGTGACTAGACTTGACCCTTTTCTGTGAAACTGGGGGTAAGTATTTCTATACACACAATAATAATTCAAAGTAAAATTTGGATGAACTACATGTACAGTAATTGATGCTTAATAATACATGTTTATAAAAAGGCAAATCATTTTGTAAAGATAAATGTCAAATAATCTGTTAAATCGTGTGATCCGTCAGCTTGTCCTCACTTCACTGTATTCAACAGATGTTATCACTGTATTCAGTATGTTGTTTGATCTTCTGGCTGGAGGGACGGAGGCAAAACTCACAGCCGCATAATTCACATCTGAATCTCCTATCTGTAAAAAAAAATACATTGCTTACTTTTATCTTTTCTGCTTGAGATGCAAAGTTTGACATTTGTAATAGTTCATGGATTAGAAGTACATAATATAGTACAGAAGAAAATTTATTTTGTATTTTTGAAAATTACCTCACATGATGGAGATGCTAGATTTGTAGATCCTTCAAAATGTGCAGAAAATTATAGTTAAACTTTGCCATACACATATTTGTAATTGAATATTTAAAGAGTTTGTACAACATATTTGTATATTAAACTGTATATGACTTTTCTGGATCATAGCCTATTCAAATAAACTCTGCTTAACTGATGGAAAGTGTGAAATTTTACCTCTATGCCGGTTTCCCCAGCGTTTGCATTGAACAACCAGGAGTGTGACAATTACTATCACAAAAACAACATTGGAGGATATCAGGCAAAGTAACACAGGATCCCATACTTTTTGATTGTTGCTTTCTGAAATGGAGAAAAGTATCCAAAAATAATTTAACAAAGCATTCAGCTCATTGTAAAATTCGTAATTAAAATACTGAGAATATACATTACTAGAACTGCTAGCTATGTGTTGTGAATATACTTTTCCATGACTTGAAACAGTGGCCCAAAAAAGTATTTTAACACTTAAACCATATAATTAAAGATAAACGAATGGCTTTGCATTAGATAACAAAGTGTCAATCCAAGTGGGACTCGTTATAAAGAAAGATAGACACTGTTCAAGCAAAAAATATTTAGATTATGATAACTTGAAAAGAACTGACTTCATACATTTACTAAAAAAACATTGTGTGAATCGTTGGTAAAACTTTGCTCTTCCTGTTTGCAGAATACACTTGGTTGGATATTTTGTTGTGTAATGCAATGAAATTCATGCTATTTTAAGCGTGGCTTAAGAATGCAAATACTTTTAGGGCCACTTGTAACAGTCACCAAAGAAAGCAAGTTAACAATTAGTCATAGTAATTTAATAAATAATTACCGTTATTCTTAAAAGTGGTTCCATTCACAACTGGTGTCTCCCCACATGCCACATTAAAGTCTTTAGATTGAGTTCCTTTGAAATAGCAAATGAACATGTAAAGACTCTTTTGGTTTGAAACAAGGAATGTTAAATTGTTATAGTTTATTCCAACACAAAATCTTTAAAACTCTAGAAAATTGAATATTTTACCTTTTAGCATCAGATTCACTCCAGAGATAAATTGAATTGAATTCAAGACCAACGTCCCACAATAGTAAATTCCGACGTCCTCCTTGGTCATAGCTGTGATGTTCAGATGAAAAGATCCTTGGCTTGTGGAAATATTAAATCTCCCATTTTTAAATTCATCCTTAAATTCTATATAATGCCAATAATTGTATGCAATAGGCCGAGGGATCCGTCCAATGCTCTGCTTATACCAAACCATTGTGCTGCCAAAACTTTCTATCGAGAAGCATTTGATTGTAACATCATCTCCCAGCTGGAATGTTTGTAACAAGACATTTTCACGAATGTGATCAGGTCGGACCCCAGCTAAAACAGAACAGTGAGGTTTCATTTAAACACTAAATATATGCATACATGGAATTGACTAATAAATACATAATTAGACAGTGGAAAAAGAGGGGGGGAAACTACTTACAAGCCCAAAAGATCAAAATGGCCCAAATTATCATGTTTGAAGCAATGGATGTGTGAAAATGCTTTTTAGAAGACGTGCATGTGATGTGATTGGTCACTTTCAAACCAAGACTTGAATAAGAGCGTGATTGGTTGAAATCAACCCGGTGTCTCTCACCCCACTCCCAAATTGGAGCAAAAGTGTTACAAAAGATATGAAATGCCTTTGTAACTATAGTCTCTGCAAAATTAATTTGGTTTTGTTAAGCTAAATTGCATTGATCTGGCCAAATTTACATTGAAATATACACAGACAAATGTGAATATACGTTACAAGTCAGTGGTAAATCACACAGAGAGACTAAAGTACTCAAAAGAGCCTTTTTAATTCCTAACAAATGACATCAAAGGGCCAAAAAAAAAAAGGAAAGACTGGATAAAAAAAAATGCATTGCATAAGTTCATGTGTGGGTAATATCAAAATCTTCTCCAAGACAAGTATATGGACAGACCTGGAATCAAGAGAGTCCAAAAATGAAAACTGCATGCAGTGAAAATGCGATATCTATATGCCTGTCCATTCATCCATCAATGTTATATATTTTTGATCTCCTTTACCTTTAAGATAAATCAAAGACTCCACACAATGAATACAAAAATCAGATAAAATATGTGAATTTGTCACAAATCTTTTTTTTGTTTTTGTTTTTATGAAGTGCTGCATTGTGTGAAAACAGTTTGTGGTCTTCTTGTTTTTCTAAAGATGGCTATCAGAAACAACCACCAACCACATCATTACCATATAAAGTAATCATAAAAAATAGGTCGAACCAGGTCGGACAAACATCCTGTGTGCACATGTGAGTAAAAGTGCAAGCGCATTCTTAAATCATAAGGTATGACTGCCTGAAGTGTTTCACGACCACAGTGTTAATTCATCGGAAAAGTACGAATGCAGAAGACCATCGCATATTCAAGTGTGCATGAGTGGGTGTTTGAGGCAACCACATATATCACACATGTGACTGTGGAGCAAAACAGTAACCTTTTGGAAAGAAAAAATAGATCACTTGATGAGACTATAGAAATTAGGTAATATTTTCTTCTCAACTTTACATTAAGTATATGCAAGAGCACACTAATAGACACACAATCAGAGTTTTCAATTGTTGTTTGTTCGTCCTTTACTCCTTCAGTTGTTTATTTGTCCTTTAGTTTTGCCTTCAGCAAGCGAAATGCATGCTTGATCGTGTTCAAGAGATTTCCGAGGAGAATTCGGAAATTTTACATTTCACTGTGAAGATCTAAACATATTTAGATCTTCACAGTGAAAGGTAAAACTTCCGAAATCTCTGTGTAAACAATGAGTGACGTACACGCGAGAGAGATCACTTCCAGCGCATGCGCAGACCGAAGCGCCCGTGCCTTCAGATCACTTGGACGTGAATGTGATTAAAGGTAAAAACTATATAAATACTGTTTGTTTTCTCACACAAACCGCTCGTTTCGTGTCTTAGGATGAACCCATATACCTCCATTATATGACTGACAGACAAGAACGGTTTGACCTCAAAATATCAAAATTGAAAATACTGTGGAACAAAGACACCTACATCTTGGATGCCCTTGAGGTAAGCTAAAACATATCGAAAATTAATTTCAAGGTGAACTATCCCTTTAAATTAATATGCTTGTTTGTTTGTTTGAAAGTGCAAAAATGATGAGACCTAAACTGAATTGGTTCTAGCGCATCATGCAAGATTTGAGCTTTCGTGTTTACCGTATCATATTTCATTGATACGCTCTTATGTATGTGCGCTATTCAGTGTTCAGCAATTCAAAACTCACCTGTCGATCTCTGAACTCTTTGAACAAGACAGGATGAAGCCGATGAGCAACTGACGAGTGCTCCAGATCTAATGTGTTGCCTCCCGTTTAAAGCAAAGTTTGCAGAGTGGTGCTTTGAGGCCTGTTTTTACTTTTCTCACTACTTTTGTAGTCAAAGTAATGCCTTATTTCAGTCATTTTGTTCTCTCTATTTATTGATTTCGGGCGTGTACAAATTCGAATGAGCTTCGTTTCAGAGCCCGTCTGGTTTGATCCATCGTGTTCCTTCGTCAGCGTTTGCCGGTTTCGCGCGTGACCCGCGTCAGTGTAGATAGCTCACTGCCACCTAGCGGAGGACTTCGAAACAGCAGCGCATCAAATGTCGAATTAAAAAAATTATGATATTGTACCGTTTGAAAAAAATTGCAGTACCGGGATACCGCGCATCCCTAGTTCACAGCAGTAGATTGCAAATGTAAATATTACACTTAGTAAAATCCAATCAACTCCAAACCTTTTTAGGATTTAAATACCTTAAAATTAAACCTGAGTGTGCACTTTCAGCCCATATCAATTATATAATAATAGCTTGAATATGTTTTGGTAAATACCTGAAAAAAATGTATGGACCTAACTGTATACACACACACACACACACACATACACAAACTTATTGGTGTTATTTAAAATGAATTAATTGATTGTCCTGTAGTTATGTTCTGAAAAATTAATAAAATCTCAAATAAACTCAACCAAAAGAGTTCTTAAATTATTATTATATTTTGCTTTATGCTATTTAATTTTTTTAAGCTTTAGCTCCCTCTTGAGGATGGACCCAGTTAATGATATATACACTAACCAACAAAATTAAAAGGGATAGTTCACCCAAAAATGAAAATTCTGTCATCATTTACTCACCCTCATGTCGTTCCAAACCCGTAAGACATTCGGTCATCTTCTGAACACAAATAAAGATCTTTTTGATCAAATCTGAGAGCTGTCCTTCCATTGACAGCAACACAACTACCACTTTGACACTTTAAGAAGTTCATAAAGAGATTGTAAAACTAATATGAATTGAGAAGTTTAGTGCAAATTTTCAGGAAAGCCTCTATCACTATATATTACGAAGTCTAAATCCAATCTGTTCATGATATGAAGCGATCGTGTCTCTTGAGAAAATTTAAAACTGCTCAATTCATATGGAATAGTTTTACGATCTCTTTATGAACTTATTGAAGCATCAAAGTGGTAGTAGTTGCGTAGCTGTCAATGGAGGGACAGAAATCTCTCAGATTTGATCAAAAAAGTACTTCATTTGTGTTTCGAAGATGAACGAAAGTCTTACGGGTTTGGAACGGCATGAGGGTGAGAGTAAATGATGACAACTGCTCCATGACCTCATGTTTATTAGAGAATTCAAGTAACCGATGAGTTTGTATAGGTTTCCAGGACTGTGTGGGGAAAAAGCTGAACTTTAATTCATCATAACTGTCATGATTCTGCCTTCTTGTCTTTGATTTTCTCTAGTCGTGAGGCAGGATCATGACAGAATCATGTTTTGTGTGCAAGCGCATGGCCTGTTTGGGCCATGTGCTTGTGTTGTCTCGTTAACTTACCCCGCCCCCTTGTTATCCTAGTCTTGTGATTATTGTCTAGTCAGTTTCACCTGTCCTGGTCATTAGTGTTCCCCTTTATAATCCCCTTGTGTTTGCTGTCCTGTGTCGGTTCATTGTTTGAAACCTGCCGTGAGACCTGCCGTGAGACCTGCCGTGAGACCTGCCGTGAGACCTGCCGTGAGACCTGCCGTGAGACCTGCCGTGAAACCTGCCGTGAGACCTGCCGTGAGACCTGCCGTGAGACCTGCCGTGAGACCTGCCGTGAGACCTGCCGTGAGACCTGCCGTGAGACCTGCCGTGAGACCTGCCGTGAGATCTGTTTGTTGTTTTGTGAAGTTTGCAGTGAGTAATCCCTTGAGTTAACTGTTAATCCAGAGTCTGTTCGTGTCTTAGTATTGTTCCTGTCTTGACCTCAGTTTAAGTCTAGTGTTTGTTACCCAGTCTTGTTTTGCCCCCTCGTGGGCTTTGTTTTCCTTTTTTGTCCTAATAAACCCTGAGTTCATTGTACACTGTCTGCGTTTGGGTTCATCATCCTTCCACTTCATAACAATAACAAGTTAAAGGGTTAGTCCAAAAAAAAAGATAAATTCTCCCTGAAAGGCATTTTCTCCCTAAAATGTCAAAATAGCATTAAATAATACTCAGATGAATCAACATGTGGCGTCTGGTACAGTTTGGTTTCACTTTATCAGTTTATTAGTAGTTACCACAATCCTTCCATCACAAAATTATCACATGATCTTTTTAATTTAAATACAGTTGTTTAATCCAGGTCATTTCAGAGTTCATGGACAACTATGACAAAAACACATGTAGATGGACAAACAAAAGCCCAAAACCAAGGCATTACTTTCTGTATCTTCACAATCTGTACCAGTGAGATCGACTGAAGGACCGAATTCCAACACACACACGGTGCACAGTTCTTAAAGTCTCTGTATTACCATGCATTTTCACACCTTTTTGTGATGCACGTTATTTACACGTACTGTCCACCGGTTTTCCTCAGTAGCTGCTTTCGTGACCGGTCAAAATGTATAAATTGTTAGTCGCTGAAGGGTTTTCCGTCGGAGTGCTTTGTAAAACGATGTCTCTGTAAACCAAGATTTGAGAAAAATATGTAAGATCCACAAGAACAAAATCAGATGTTTATGCAAGTTAAAAGGAAAGTCAATACCTGTGCGTGCCTAAAACTTTGAACACTCGGCTTTCGTCTGTGATTTCCTGTGTTATCTAAGATAAAACACGATGATGGCTTTAAATTCTCTGACTATCTTTAGTCCATGTAAATGCATCAACTGTTAAAACAACACTTTACCTCGCAGTTGTGCAGACTCCGTCCTTTAAGCCCATGTTTCCAGAAAGCTAAAACACTTTCTTCTAAACAAACTGTTGGAAAAAAAAACACAGTATTGTAAATTATAGTATTGTCAAATGTCATTGTGAACGTATAGTGTATTTTCATATGTCATTTTTGTACCTAAAGTCTCGATAGAGAAGTCAAAATCCAGATCGGATACTAACTCCTTGCTGGGAACACCCTGCATATTGACAATCTTCACTGTTTCTAGAAAATTACAGCAATATTTAATTAACAATACAATCAGTTTATGTTTTAATAGAGTATTCACATTTAAATCATACATACTTTCCAGTGCAATTAAAACGGTGTCCCTGTCCAACTGTGTCACTTGTACAGCTTTTATTGTGTTACTGTCTAAGGAAAGACACAAAGATC